GAAGTAAGGAGTTTTTTCTGAGATGACCCATATCTCTTCAAATACTGTTCAGATCAGATTATCCAAAGATGTGTGCCTGATGATAAGGTAAGTAACATTCTCTCTTTTTGTCATTTGGGAGCATTTGGAAGCCAATTTTCTATGAAAAAGACCGCTGCAAAGGTGTTGCAGTGCGGATTTTATTGCCCAACGATTTTTAAAGATGTTTATAATTTTTGTAAGGTTTGCGAGCGTTGTCAAAGATTAGGGGGGTTAACCCATAGAAATATGATGCCTCTAAATCCAATTTTGATAATATAATTTTTTGACTGCTGGGGCATAGATTTCAGGGGACCTTTTCCACCATCATTTGGATATTTGTTCAGTTTAGTGGCAGCAGATTATGTCTCTAAATGGGTCGAGGTTGTACCATGTCGAACAAATGATCATAAAGTTGTTCTAAAATTTCTAAAAGAGAATATTTTTTTCAAATTTGGTATACCTCGAGCCATTATCAGTGATGGAGGATTGCACTTTTGTAATAAATCTTTTGAAACTTTAATGAAAAAATATGGAGTGACACATAAAGTTGCAACCTCCTATCACCCACAAACAAGTGGTCAAGCAGAGTAAGCTAATCGAGAAATTTCTTATATTTTGGAAAAAACAGTTAACCCTGATCGTAAAGATTGGTCATTATGACTAATTGATGCGTTATGGGCATACCGTATTGCTTACAAAACCCCGATTGGCATGTCTCCGTATAGATTAATATATGGAAAAGCTTGTCACTTACCTGTGGAACTAGAACATAAAACATATTGGGTCATTAAGATGTTTAATTTTAGTTTTAACAAAGTTGACACCTTACGAAAATTACAGTTAAATGAGCTTAAGGAGATTCAGAATGAAGCTCATGAGAACTCTAGTATTAACAAAGAACAAATGAAGGTGTTCCATGATAAAAATACATTGCGTAAAACTTTTATACCTTCACAAAAAGTTATTTAATATAATTCTAGACTACATATCTTCAAAGGAAAGTTTTGAACTAGACGAAGTAGCCCATATATTGTTAAAGAAGTTTTTTCATATCGAATAGTGGAGATTAAAAATCTCAATAATGGGAACACCTTTAAAGTTAATGGACAACGATTGAAGCCATTTTTGGAGGATGGTATAGTTGAAGTGGAATCCATTGAGTTGGTGGATCCCCACTATGAATGATTCATATCTAAAAATCAACACAATTGTTGTATAACATTTTTTTTTATTTAACATTTTGCTTATTTTTGTTAAGTCTTTTATTTTTAGGTTTTAGAGTTGTTGCGGTACCATGTATTTCTACTCCTTTGATTTTTATTCATTATTTTTATTAAGTATTAAGATATTTATTTTTACATTGAGGACAATATTGGATTTAGGTTGGGGGGTATGAGTATGTTTTATGTTGTGAAAATTTCTAGTTTATGTTTTTTTTTTAGTTTATTTACTTTGCTAAAAAAAGATAAAATAAAAAAATAAAAAAAATTTGTTGGTTATTAAATATTTAAATAACATTTTTATGCATAATTTGATACCACAATATAGAAATAATTTGCGTAACTTTAAATTTGCAGTTGTTTAAACATCACATAAAACTTTATTCTATACTTTTGTATCCCATGTCGTGTTCTTATAAAAAAAACTCACAATTTGTGCACTTTAGATTTTACCAGGTTGAAAATTTATTAGGTATTTTACCTTGAGAACTTGAAATATATAGTGAAGATGTATAAAAACTCTGATGAGTTTTGATCCAATTTTTTTTTGGAAGGTTATTTATATTTACTTAATAAATAATTTTTTTATTCAGCTAATCTCCTTTAATAGTCTCATTATTTTTGTTTTGGTCAACACCAATATTTTGAATGATTGCTTGACTTTAAGTTATTTGCATAAGAAGTGTGTTATCAAAAGCTCTTGAGATATGATTTTAGGTTGTCTTTGATATTATTTGAGCCTAAGTCTTATTCTTTGAATATTATTATCTCTAGAAGCCGTGATTGAGTCTATGAAACAAAATTTTATTTCTGATACCCAACGTATAATAATCAAGCCAATGAAAAAAATAATATCATTTACCCTTAGTTATCTTGAGATTGAGTTTTTTATTGTTTATATAATTTGGGAAATGTTGGTTGAGAAAAGATGTTCAAAAATAGTGAAAAAAAAGAAGAAGTTTTTGCATACTTGTAAATACTTGCATTAAATATTTTGCTGAAAAAAGGAGTATATACATTCAATTGTCTTGTTGAAAAAAAAGTTAAAAAGAAAAAGAAAGACAATATGTCTAGTTGTGAAAAAAAAAAGAGAAAAAAATAGCAATCATGAGTTGAAAAAAATATAAGCAATTGTTGTAAATTATGCTTCTAAAGGGTAAAGAGTGAAAGGTTATGGAAAGAATATTGGTTGTGTAATGTACATGTTCTCTTGGGATAGTCTTTTGAACTCTTAAATATCTTTTGTTTCAAAACCCTAATCCTAAGACCTCATTACAGCCTTAAATAAAGTCCTATTTGATCTCAAGAGTGTATTGATGGATGCATGACTTGTGTGAATAAGGAAGAGAATGATAATTATTTGTTTATTGTGTATTGATTTCCTTTCATGAGACTATGTCAAATCTTTTTTTTTTGGATTAAATTTTTTTTTAATGGAACATGTGAGTATTATTTTATTTTGATTTAAATATCTTTTTTTCACATGTGATATTTGAGGTACTAGTCACTATAATCTGAGAGAATCTTTTATGAGTGAATTATCTAGTAAGATTTGACATTGAGACGAATAGTTGATAATTGTAGAAGTAATTATCGGATAAATTATTAACTTGGTATAGTCAATTCATACTACCCACGAGTTTATATGGGAACATGATAAGTGCATACATTTATATAGCATAGAGTTCTATATTTTGCTTTGCATGTATTTATAAAAAGGCTTGTATCTCAAAATTTTTATATTGTGGTAACAATTTATGGTATAAAATTATTATTCAGATATTTAATCACAGGGTGATATTTGTGGCTATCATCTCTGAAAAGCCTCACGCGACTATACTCGTCTATTAGGGGGAACCTAGAAATTTAAAAGCTTGTTGCATGTGCTAAATGTAATCATGAGTCCTACGAAAAGTGGGTTTGTGTTTTATTTTATTAGGTTATTTTGTTTTTATTTTTAGATTTTAGAATATATGTATTACTAGTGACTAGTAATATTCAGGTTGGGGAGTGTGATTAATCATCAAAATTATTATTTTATTATATTTAATGATTGGTTAATTACATATTATTTGTGATTAAATGTGTTAAATTCCTTGATTTTCTAGTTTGATACATTTTTTAGTTGTTTGGTTTATTTTGTAGGTAAATTGGTTGATTTAAAATAATAATAGATAATGCAAGTGAAGCAATCACTAGAGAAAGAATCACAATTGATAAGAATTGAAGAGTCAAGATTAAAATATGAAGACTTGAAGATATGATAGCAATTTAATTCTTATAAGAGTCAAAGTTGAAACAAAACTCATTTAGACTTGGATTAGAAAAGTATCTTAAAAGATAAGGATTTGACATCATAACTTTTAACTCTGATATCCGATTTACTTAATTTTTGGGGGTTAAAAAGAAGACTTCAAGGATTACAAAAGTGTATTTTACGAAATTTTCATAATTCAACCTCTAAATATGCGAAATTCAAGTTCGAAGTTTGGACAGACTTTATACCCGCGTCTCAAAGATTTTATGCACAGAATTTAATCTTACAAGACTTCTTTTTTGGAAGGAAATTCCTTTCAACTTGTAATTATGATTTATTTTTAGTATAAATAGGGGTTCTCATTTAGAGATTAGGATTATTCTTTTTTTCATTTTTTTATTTTGATTTTAGTTTGTTATGTTTGACTAGAAGGCTAAGTTAGGGCTAGGGGATAACCTCTCAATGAAGTATAGTAATGTTATTGATTCTGAGTTTAATGATTTATGATGTTTTGTTAGTTTAACTTCTAATCTGTTAGCAAACTTTTTATTCTGTAAAAATCCTTGAGTTGTTGTGTCATGTACATCGGTTACTTGAATTTATCTGCGAGTAAATAACTGATTATTCCACGCTTGAGGTAATTATCATTATTTCATAAAATAATATAATTTGATAATTATTCAGGTTTTTGAATAATCTTTTGAATTTTTACTTGATTTGTTACTCAAATCAACCGACATCTGATTCTTGTCTCAAGTTAAGATTTGAGTTTTTAATCATTATTGTATGAAATTGAGAGGGAGTACTTGATACTCTAATATTTTATATATTATTGTTTTAATTATTTAAATTAATTTTTTTTTCACTCAATAATTCTCTAAACAAATTATTTATTTTTAAGTTTGTTTTAGTATTTGTGTAATTATTTATTCTTTGAGGGTTCGGCCTCGATCTTCTGATAAATTTATCTGCAATTGAGTTTACAATATTAAAGTCGAAGCAGCTGCCAACTTGATTCTCTTCGGATTTAGATGAATTATATTGCCATCTTTGTTGGCCCCAAGGAGAATGAAAGATCACTCCAGAATGCTAGCTGATTATGAGGAACCATGTTTACTGGATGATGATCTCTGGTTTCATAAAACTTCCTCCAACTGAGATTTTGGGGTTAATTGATGACATGATTGGTTTATGGTGAGAAGACCAAGTCACCAATCCTTTTTGTGCTATCTAATTATTGATGCTTTTCAAGGAGAATACCTTTTAGACCGCAAATTCAAGATAATAATAAGCTTACTCGTATGGATGAGAAGTGAGTATATAAGGTCCTAATTCATTATATTGTCTTCCCCATCAGCCTCTTGCAAGAACGTGGATTCGGGAGTGACCCAATCTCAAACTTGGTTGTGGGATTGACTTTTTTCCAGTTGTGGTATTCCGCTCTCCCGAAAGAGCTGCAGTTGAGAGATTTCAACGAACCTTATTCGCCCATGCAATTAGAGATGTCAGAAACTAGATTTGACATGTCAATTGAAAACTCCGGCGGATACGATGCCAATAAAATTCAAGAAGTTAACTCCCCCCATCAGTGCGATTCAAACACCTCTGTTAGGAATGACAAGGTCATAGGTTTGGAAGTTGATGTTGGCCAACAGAGACAAGTTTCCTTCGGGATGTATAATAACCTGCAGAGAGAAAATCATTCCCCAAATTTTCAGCCCCAAGGTTTCTACGTGAACCCTTGTGGAGGCAGTGAACGTGAAGCATTTTCTATTTCTAGTCAAGGTGGCAGTATGCCTTATGGTTCAGTTTTTTGTACCCGTGGTGAGTTTCAAGTTCTCTTTGCTTTCTTATGGTTACATTATTAGCTGATATATGTTACGGAGAAAATATTGGTTTTGTTCTGTCTGTCTTTTGATTGAGCAACTTTAGGAAGGGATACTAGAATATTAGGCTTATTAGCAATTCTTCTATGATATATGGTTGAGCATTGCTGTGATTATTAGCAAAGAGGCATAGTTCAGAATGCAGTTACAGAAATGGATGACTTTCTTGATCTTTTATAGTTAACATGACATTCGTGCTGATGACTTCTGGTTTATTTGTGCTTGAAGTACGTATTTTCTGTGATGTTTTTGTTGCATCTATTGGTTCCCAAGTTACTCACTATACTCACCTTGTAGTCTGAATTTACTTATGTATGAAGGAAGTTTTTTTTTTTTTTTGAACAAGAAACGAAGGAAGTTGAATTTAGTGTTATTTGTAGATATAAAATGGCTGGTCAATATATATCTCTACGTGATATACTATCCTTTTAATACTGCTGATTTTTAAATTCCCTGGATTGGTTTTAGGCTGATTAAGTTATGAATAATTCTTTACTCATAAGACAACTTAATGGAGCGGAGTGCTGCTTGTTGAATATCATACATGTACAGAAGAAAACAAAGTTGATTTCTTGCATTTGCTGGAGTTGAGATATCACTTGGGTACCGACAAAAAGATTTTGATGGTTTACTGAAATCAATCCATAATCTTTGATTTTGGTTTGATTGATTTGTTACCACTAATTGAAAAAATAATGAAGTAATGTGAATTAATAAAATAACTAAACTTATCACATATCACATTTTTATTGGACGAAAAGTGGAAATATAGTACCCGGAAAAATTGCTTTTTGGTACTGTAGCTGGACATAGGTTAGAAAACCAATGACAACGTGAACTATAATTAATGCTTACAAAGGTGTTGGAAATTTTAATGATTGTGCAGTCTGTTTAGAAGCTCAGTAGTAGGCAGTTCCAAGAGGTTTTAGAAGGGGTGAATCAGTGGTAGTACTAGTTGTACAACTTGGTTTTCAAATCTCTTAAATAAATTAAAGAAACTTCAGACTCAATATAGAGAGATATCTTTCAAGCATTACTACCCCCAACATTAGATCAGATGTTTAATTTCCACTTTGAGTTCTAGTTGTGTTAGGTGTTTCAGTGTGTGGGACCTGTTTTCTTCCTTGGTGGCTTACTCAAATATTGTTAATGAGATAGAAAAATTGTTCCTTTTAGCTGGTGGGTTATGCTGGAAGCTGATTACTCTTGTAAATTGATGGAGCAGTTCCTCATGACTGTTAGATGCTGTGTGATTTTGCTTGAAATGGTATATGAACAAATATCAAATTCTTTCCTATTTTATCTTGGGTTCGCTTTTTGGGGCTGAAATGTATTTTGTTAGACTGAAAGAGATATCGAAAATGCTGAACTTTTTTTCTTTCTTGCTAATATAGGTCTGGATTCCTGGTTGTTGCCTTTAAGATTGCCTCATTCAAGAGATAAATTAGACGATCTCATCTGTTTGCATAGAAATATGGGTAGTGACTATTATAATAACGCAGTGAAGTATTTACGGCTTGCTCTTCAATCAACAACTCCAGTGTTTGAGGCCTTACTTCCATTGATACAGGTAATGCAGATATTCACCTGACCATTTGCGAAACTGCGAATTTATACTCTACATAGGATATGATCACACCATACTTCTTCCTAGCACACTGCACCTACGTAACCTATGTTCATTGTGTTGGCATCTCAATTACTTTCATGACTTAATTGTTGTTGTCATTAGCTTCCTCATTGTGACATTCAAAACCAATTATTCAAACACTGGCCACACTGTCTTTACCCACAAGTTCCCTATATCATATTCATTCTGTCCACTTGTGATATACTGTTAAATAAAACTTTGTTCCTTAAACTGCTTATGAATGAAAGGAACTATGATTTGCATTTTAGTGCAACAAGTTGTAGACGTTAAATTATTAAACTGCTTCTTCATGTTTGTATGCATTTCCACATGGGGATGATGATGAGTGCTACACAATGTGGGTAATTGTGACGTCCTTCCTTCAGTCTTTGATGATAAATATCATGCTGGAATTTTTTGAAATATTTTTCTAATTTTAATGAGCGGAAACATTGGTAGACATTACCATCACCCGAGCAGCTTGTCAATTTAAGTCCTTGGTGATTAATACTCTGCTGAAAAAGCTTTTCTGATTAGTTTTCTAATTTTAATAAGCAGAAATGTAGGTAGAATCATTACCATCATCTGAGCTGCTTGGTATTCAAAATGCCAGAATTCCCCCCCCCCCCCTTCCTTTCTCTTATTTCTTCACTTATTAGTCGCCTATGTTGCATTAAGACCTTGCAAAAGCCACTCTTGCTGCCGGCTTTCTTCACTTTGGTCTTTCTCATCCTTGATAACAAAGGGAGGTTTTGTTGGATAGAACTTTGTTGCAGATTAGTTTGCTATAATTAATACTTAATGTGGGAAAAAAGTGTACTGCTCCCAGTTTTATGTTTTTGGTGCTTAAGTTCGTTTGCTACTTTGCCAGATACTGCTGCTTGGAGACCAAGTGAAGGAGGATGTAGATGAGCTTGAAATTTTTTCCATAATTTAAACACAGCACCTCCCTTAAGGTGATCATTTATGCTAAGACCTTGATTGTATTTGGTTGCCGAGAAAGAGATATATTTGAAAAATGTTACGTAGACGATAGTGAATTGCTAGATTTTTAAATGGGCAGCCACTCTCACCTGATAATAACATCTACGACGTAAAACACATGGTCTAATTATTGATCGGTTGGTTATTCTGAACCTTTGTATATTCAAAAACTCACTGATTTTCGTAGACAGAGCAAATTGAACAGTACCTTTATCATTTTTTGTTTCCGCTATGTGAAACACTAATTACTTTCTCCCTCCAAGTGAAGTGTGGGGTGGTGTATTCTCAATCTTCTGTTGCTGAACAAGCTTTGGGAACTGTAATCATAGACTAGATAGTACCAGGAGACATTGCTGAACAGCCCTGTAAATTATATTTGCCATTCGAGTTTTTAGAGCTATGTGGCGAATATTTTGAGAGGAGATAAAAAGGACAGATGGTATTTTTCTAGAAAAAGGAACCCACGTTACTTATTAATTAAGAATCAAGGGATTCATTATTTGAAGAGAAGTGAACTACCCAAGATTACAGTTCATAACTGAATGAAAGTTAAGAAATCTAATGACAAAGGAAGGCGGAATCAATAAAATCCTGCTTGATCTTCACTGAGAACTTGATTAAGGAGTAGATCAATTTGGGGGATCTTTTAGAAAGTGAAATAAGGAACATCTTTCTTTATAGCCAAATGAGATTTGTTTGTTTATCCATTTATTTGGGGTGCAGATTGAAATCTAGTCTCTTGGAACGTTTTGCTAGTAACAATATTGTCGAAGTTTCAACTTGCTATGAGGATATTCTGAATAAAGATCCAACATGTAGCCATTCATTGGCAAGGCTTGCAAGCATGCATAAACAAGGTACTAATTTTAGGACCTGAATCTGGTTCAGTTACGTGTAGGGAAAATTGCAGTGTGCCAATGCTAACAATGTGTTGGTGTGTTTTATCCTCCTCCTCTTTCTGTGTTGTGGGATATTTGTTGGGTTTTGGGGTGTGTGGGAGAGAACTATGTTTGTTTGTTTTTTGCTGAGAAGATGGGCATTTTTCTTTATGTTTTGGAGAGTTTGAAATGCATTTTCTACACAGTTGTGGTTTGGTTATTCTGTTCCTATACTCTCACGGTATGTGTTTTATAGTTTCACTTTATGTTTTCTCACATGTATACATGCTTCGGAATCTGGAAGATTCTAATATATTTCATGCTGCCTTTTAATGGGCAACAATTTATGTAAGTGCAGGGGATTATAGCTCTGAAAAACTGCTGGAAATGATAGCTCTGCATTTAGATGCTACATATGCAGAATGCAACACATGGAAAGAGTTTGCTTCTTGCTTCCTGAAGCTTTGTCAATCTGAAGAAGATCGAATGTCGATTTGCCTGGATGGTAATGAAGACGGACACAAGCAAAAGCACTCTTATCATTTCAATGGTATCCCTGGAATGTTTACCAATAGTGCATTAGGAAGATCGTGGAGGTTTCGTTGCAGGTGGTGGTTGACACGTCACTTCAGCCATAGCATACTTTCTTCAGAAATCACAGCAGGTACCTTATCAATTTTCATCTCTAGCCTTTGAATTTTTCCTGTCATGTGGCTTTTAACTCCATTGTTTATAACTGTGTGGTTTTAACTACATCTTTTGCTAATGATTGGATTGGTCTGATTTTCATTGACCCAATAAAGATCGGGTTCAATTTGGTTACTTGACTGGGTCGGGTCTGCGTTTGGCCGCACCCACTAGCCTGTCGTGCTTTAGCATGTAGTGTCTGTCTGAACACCTCTTTTGGTTGAGAGTTTGATTTCAATGCTTAATGTTGATCAGGAAATGCATTGCAGGGCATGTAGACTACTACTACATTGCATAATTAGTTTCTACTCTAATTAACAGGTGACTTGCAGCTATTAACTTACAACGCAGCTTCTGCATCGAAGGGAGTTGGAATATGTTGTAACGGCTTCTGCTTGTTTGGAGGAGGAAAATAATATGGAAATGTTCTCATTTTTATAGATGCACATGTTGAACTCTCTTGGACTCTATTAAAATTTGACAACTTAGAGAGAGAGAGAGAGAGCACCTAACAACCAAAACGCTGGATTAATTCTAGATGCCATGGAGTTCAATGTAAGACCCAACAATTTCTCAAACTAATATATTCTTTTTAGTTTTACTACTGATTCAAAGACGGAGTCAGAGTTTCTCCACAGTAGGAGCAAGCATCGGTTGAAAAAAAACGATGGAATGATAATTATCAAAATTTGTTGTGCTATACGAACAAAATCCGATCATTCTATTTTGATCTTTTCTACCAAACATAAAGCAGAGACGAGGAAGATTTTCTTTTCTCTAAAAATAAAAAATGTATTTCTCTTACTTTTCTTTCTTCTTTTCATTTTTTCATTCATCTTATCAAAGTCACCATAGTTATAGAGGTTCAATAGTGTTTTACAAAAAAATCTTATTTTTTTATAAAAATGTTGCACAAGTCCAATGAAACTTAAATGCATATCATTCATTGGATGAGTGGGTTCCACTGAAAAAAAATTGATGGGATGCACTCATTTAAGGGATAATATGTATTTTGATAATAATTTTATAAATTTCATTTAAATTGTGTGGTATTCCTCTATTTATTTTTTTTTTTAATGATACCTTTTTCTGTTTTATGGTGTGTACAAAGGACTTGTTGGGTCATTAAGTGCTTACCAAGCCTAAGTTACCTAGTTTGACATTCGAATTGTTTGTATTGTTTTATGTTTATGGGCCTAGAATTTTAGCCGAAGACTTCTTACTTTACAGTTAGCTTGACTGGCCATTCGTTTCTTAAACTACTTTTCATGAATCGGCCTGTACATTTTAAGGATTTGTATGACAAAGAACACAAGTTGTTTTTCCCTTTCTTGAGGTATTTTAAGGAATTGTGTGAGAAGACGACAAATTGATTTTCCTTCTCTCTCTTTTTTCTTTTCGTGTTCATTTGGACTTGCAAGTTGTTGTCGAGAAAGTAAATGTGAGGTTTTAAATTCAAAATCATTCATTCTTCAAAATGTATCCGTATAATAAAATTAAAGTATGTTCGAATTTTATCTCAGTCATATTTTTTCTCTCAAAATCATCACCAATCACTTACGTCACTCATCATTCATTTTTCAGACTCATATGTCAACTCACATATTTAATTATTTATATATTTCTTCTCTAAAAATATCATATTACTCATTTCTATCATATACTTAATCATTTAATATTTGATTAATTTGTAATTAATGTATTTTGACAAAATTTAATATAGTGGGATCGAGTTTTTAGACGTTCGAATTTTATATTTTATCGTGCCTTTAAGCACGAGTTATGACTAGTATTTTTATATGATTTGTTTGATTTTCTGAATTTCATCATTTCTTCAACTTTTCACATTTTCATTTGCGTTCAGACTAATACCAAGTCTTTATGTCACATAACCACCTTCATTATTGTTATGTTGTACCACTAATCCCCTTTGTGAATGAAAAGTCGAAGGACAGAGAAAAGAATTGACGAAAAGTGTGAACAGATAAATAATTTTATCTATAGACTTTTCCCAATCTTTTTTTTCAACAGATAAATAATTTTATTAATCCAAAACGTAGAGATACAATAATGCTCAAAACACGCAACAAGTGCACATGGACGAATTCTCATAAAATAGAACTCAATATCATACATATATAAAGTAAGATGTTACAGCAAAACTCGAGATAATTACTCCCCACTAGTGAAAGCATCCTCTAATCTTTTCTTTAGGATAAGTATATTTTTGTTAACCATTCTATAAACGTACTAACTATCAAGACTTCATCACCAATAAAACTAGCAAAGTTGGATGCTCAAACTTTAGAATTCACTCTACAATAATAGCTGAAACACACTTACATACCATCTCACATGTATTTTACTAGAAGATGTGAATTTATTTCATTACAATCAAAGCCCAAACATTCTCATTTGAGAGTAGACCTTACTTTCAATCCATAGGTGGAATCGATGTTGCAGTAGCCTCTATAATACAGACTATACAAACCTATGCAAGGGAACACCAATTCTAAATAATAACTCAATGGATACAAATCAATGCACATAAACATACTTTACTTTATTCCATAGCTTATACCACTTCCAGAGTTCATTAAACCTTTGATATTAGGTTATTACTAATAGACCAATCAACTTTTCAAAGAACTCAACTAATAGTCAACTAATACTGATAGATTTACACCTCTCGACATCACGAATAATGTATCCAAATTTGATTACAATGTGAACAAATATCATTGTTTCAAACCCGCATTTTCTTTTCTTTTCTTTTCTTTGTTTCCCCTTCATTCCTCTCTCCTATTCCCCTCTAGGTTTACAAATCCGAAACTCAAACTTTTTCTTTTCTTTCTTTTATATTCGCTAACACATAAACATGTGTTATTTTAATTGACTTGACTTGACTCTCATACTAGGAAGATAAAGGGTACACTGGTTTATCTTGTTTTTTTTTTGTGTTTCGTTTTTCCCTTCTTCTGGCCTTTTGGACCCTTCTTTCTTTCCTCTAGATTAGAAACTACCTTAGATGAATACTCACCCCACATATCACCTTCGGTGGTCTTTGGTCCACCTTGACTTCATTTTTTTTCTCCTCCCCCTTCATTCCTCTCCTCTCCTCTCTGTAGTCACCGTAGTCAACCTATACCAAACATATGTATATTAAAAAAACATATATATGTCACACTTACATATCTACTAATATAATATATTAGGGGTAACTCGTACCTAAAGGTGTAATATAATGTGAATGATTTTGAAATGAATGTTGATGATCGTTAGATAAATCTATTTGAAATCATCAGATGAACTTATTAAAATTTGCTTGATATTTCTTTGTTTTTTTAATAAACAAGTTACCTGTATATGGTACACTCACAAGTTACCTGAACATATATATGGTACCCACACACACACACACACACACACATATATATATTTCTTTGTTTTTTAATTAAACAAGTTACCTGTTTTTTTTTTCTACAAAAAAATCAAACATTTTGTTTTGGTTTTTGTTCATGCTTGCCTTTTGCTCAATCAACATATGAATACCTTCTATGTCCCAATTGCAATACTCAACTAATGCTCCGTTTGTAAAGAATGATAGAAAGTAAAAAAGATGAAAAGTAGGAATAATTTATATTTTTTATATAAATTAAAGAATGATACATTTTTTATATTTTAAGGAAAGAAAATAGGAATGATATATTTTCCTTCCTTTGTGTTTGGTTAGATGAATAGAAAATAAAAATGACAAATTTTTTTTTTATTCTGGTTAGGATTAGGGGTGACAATTGAGTGGTGTCGTGTTAGATTCATGTTGAGTCATTATATGTTTGAGTCGAGCATTAGTCACACCTAACTTAACTTATTTAACTAATTGTGTCGTGTTGAATTACAAGTTGACCTGTTTATTTTCGTATCATGTTAGTATTCGAGTTAATCAAGTTTGTGTCATAAAATTCATGTCGAGTTCGAGTCGTGTTATCATGTTGAGTCAAAAATTTTCACCCTTAGTTAAGATGGAAAAAATATTTTTTCAATTTAAAATTTAAATTTTAATTATTAAATTTTTTTATTGTTTTATTTTTGTATTTTGTATTTTTAAATTTTTTTTTATTTTATATATATAAATACACATATAAAAGTTAATTCTGATATAAACAAATAAGATACATCTCAACATAAAAAATTAACTTTTCTTCTGATTTTAGAAGGATTGATTTAGTGAGTTGGAAAGAAAGTTAATTCATCTACTTTTTCATCATTTCTTACCAAACATGATATTTTATTTATTCCTCCAACTTTCTATTTTTTCAACTTTTCATCTTTTTATTTTTTTATCGTACCAAAAGAGAAATAGTTGCTAGCTTTAAACCTTATTGTTGGCTTTTTCCTTCCTAACAACCATGCGTGGTTTACTTTCTCGGTTGAGGCATCTCCTAGCCAATTATTTGGTTGTACAATGTGCTTAATGTTTTGTTTGATATGATGAAAAAATAGGAGGATGAAAAAATAGGAAAATGAAAAATTGGTAGGATGGAAAGTTGAAGGAATAAAAAAAAATCATGTTTAGTAAAAAAAGAAAGTAGGAAGGATGTAAAAGTGAATGAATTAACTTTTCTTCCAACTCACCAAAATCAATCCCTCCAAAATCAAAATAAAAGTGGATGAAAAGTTAATTATTTGTGTTAACATGTATCTTATTTATCTATATATCTTATGTATACATTAATTTCATATAAAAATATAATTGTAATATATATATTTTAAAAAAATTTTAAAAAAAAAATTATTTTTTCCATCTTAACTAAGGGTGAAAATTTTAAACTCAACACGATGACATGACTCGAACTCGATACGAAAATAAACAGGTCAACTCGCAACTCGACACGACACAATTAATTAAATGAGGTAAGTTAGGTTTTACTAATATTTGACACAAATTCGTAATAATTTAACACGAATCTGACACGACATGATTCGACTCGATTGTCACCCTTAATCTTAGCCAGCACAAAAAAAAAATTTTAAAAAATAGTTATTTTTATTTTCCATCCATCCAACCAAACACAAAAGAAGAAATGTGTATCCTTCTTACTTTTCATTCTTAAAGAATAGAAAATGTATTTCTTCTACTTTCCATTCTCCTTACAAACGGAGCATAAGAGTCTTCAATGAATCTATTTTTAATATTGGTAATTTCTTGTGGTTAAATTATGAAGGAGGTTAGTCGAGGTATGCAGAAATTAACCTAGATATCCCTGACCGTTGAACCAAAAAACAAAAAGGCAAATCCACTTCCATGAAAGGCTTTTCAACATGAATAATACTAACTTAATTTGTTAATTTAATGATATGGATTCATTCTAACTATTGAATTAATTAACACCAACTTCTTAATGTTTCATAAGACCCACAATTAATTTAAAAATTATAATAAATTAAATGTGGTGTTAAATTCAATAAATGTCTCAAAGTCTATTAGCTAGCAATCGTCATATAGATTACGTAATCTCATGACAGGAGCATAG